GAACAAGATCATGAGCTCTTTGCAAACAACTCCCGGTTGTCACACACAGCCACAGCCGTTATCAGCTCAAAGAGCAATTACTTGCATGGACCCCCCACCCTGACTTTATTGAAGCCCCGCCGTGAGCGCAAACCTTAGTTGAGTTCTCTGTCATGAGCTTGTCAAGAACTAATACCTCACACCTAGTCTGAAGGCAGAAGCCGAGAGGGTTGTTACAGCAATCACTCCTTCGGGTAATTGAACCTACTTCATGAATGGATAGGCAGCAAGGGATGTTACAAAATCCATGAGGATAACAGACAACGTCTTATCGCAGAGGCAGTAGCAATAATGGGAACCCTAGCCCACGCATCCCTGAAGGAAGGACACATGGTCTTCCACACAGATCCCATGGCAGTCATTTACTTTTTACGGTACAGCATACTTAATAATATCTACCTCCTGACCACTGTCCTTACCATAGCGCAGAGGATTCATAAACTGGGCCCTCAGCCACATAGGCATCAGAGGGAATGATCTTCTGACAGACTAACTGACATTGGCAGGGGTATGCCCCCAAATCCTATGTTTATTAAAAGCCGATAAATATTGAGGCACAGGTCCAACGCCACAGCACTTGCCATTCCCCTGCAGCTTCACAGAGAGGAAACGAAACCTCCCCCTCGGCAACATGGTACTCCGACGCCACAGGCTATGAGCCACTGTCACTCTCTGAAACAATCAATAGAGGTGCCAAAATCATTCTTCGCAGACACTGCGAATAGCAAATCACACAAACAGTTGACAATGTAGCCAAGCCAATGAATCTTGAGGCACAAGTCCAACACCACAGCACTTGCCATTCCCCTGCAGTTTCACAGAGAGTCAACGAGAACCTCCCCCTCGGCCAGATGGTACTCAGACGCCACAGGCTGTGAGCCACTGTCACTCTCTGAAACAATCAATAGAGGTGCCAAAGTAATTCTTCACAGACTAGTTTACCACTGCACATAGCAGATCATACAGACACTTGACTATGCCGACAGGTGTTGCACGCATTGCGGCAAGCCGAATGCCACCCTGTTACATTATTCACAGACTTGTGAACACACACAATATTTGAGATAGGGACCCCCCACAACAGTCGCCAAGCTGGTAAAGAAATTATGCTGTATGCTTACATTGTGACAGCAGGAGCTGACAACCCGGTCACCACGGTAAGCATCGGGCGTCAGAGAATCAATTGAGACAGCCATAAATAGCTGACACAGGCCGGGCCAGGTGTATGGAAGGCCCAGACAAGGCTAGACTTCACAAATCTCAAATGAATGAATGAATCTAGCAAGATAATTACACTGCGAGGCAAACATTGATGTGACAGCCAGGGTAGTGATGAACCTCCAGAATCTGAGAAAAGTACCAATGACACAATCCTGAAAGAGCGAATATATCAAAATGAGACCTTACTTATAAACATAGATGGCAACTGTCATGATTTTCAATCTTTTTCATATACTTGTTCATTCTAATGGATCCAAACAGCATTTTATCGCAACATTACCCTTAGATATGACTTAAAATATAACCAAGGTACCTCTGTATACCAAACACAACTGGATTTGTGACAATATGTAAGAAAAAATAAAGAAAACCCCAAAGAAAAACATTGGGGAAATCAATTGTTAGAGCATTTTTGCATTTGAAATATGGCAGGTAAAGTGGGGCTCCATACCCCAGGTGTCTGGTGTTAGCAAACCATCCTCTTCCATCTTTTTTTTTCTTTTTTCAATGAAAAGGTTCTTAAAATCAATCATGTCAATTATTATTCTGTTTTAGCTATATTAGCAGTTGCTGAATCATTCTAAATACAATTATGAAAAATACACTATGGTATACACAATAACCAGCTACTGCAAATAACAGTAAAAATAATTAAGAAAAATCACCAAATTATAAATAATTTTTTTCACATTATCTTTTGAAGCAAAGGTGCAAATTATTTGGTTTCAAAGCTCATTCTATATTGGAGAGTACTCATATGCGACTAAACTGCCTTCTGCCAATTTTCTTTATTTTGAAATGATAAAGAGATATGTAAAGATTTTTTTTTTTCATTTGCCTTACTCGAAATCATGTACCTAAGAGAACAGAAAATTTGAAATCCGATGACTAGGGGCATTGATTATTTTTTTATGATTTTTTTTGCGTATTTTGAGCAATGGTATTATCCTACTACACCCAAGAAATGTTATACACATTTCCAGCTTCTGGAAGGGGGTGATTACCCTCCTGGGAGATTATTAGCAGCAGTTCCCAATAAGACAACCATAATATCCTGAGGATTATGGTGTCATTTTGAGTTTCATTTCATGAGTAATTGTGTACATAAAGAAAAATACATACTATATATCTTTGCACAGGAGAAATAAATCACATTTTAAACACACAACAGTATATTTATTTATCCACAAGATATCACCAGGTGAAAGGAGTACGAAATGCACTAAAATAATTACAAATCCATATAAATGGAAATGACCACTACAATCAAATACAAATAGTGTTAAAATAGATTTACAATAAGAGAAATTAGAAACCTGGATAGACAAACAATTATACCTGAGAAACAATTGCATTTGATCAATAAACACAAGGAAAAAGGGAGGTGGATACCACAACCCTAAATGCTCTCTTGGCAAATTTCTCCCTATATTAAGTAAATATGGCTAGAAAATTAAGAAATAAATGAATACTACCCCGACCATCTTCTATCACCTTTTACATCTTCAAATGAAAAAAAATATGAGTAATCAACTGATACTACAGTGTTTAGGAACAAATTTAGATATAACTCAAAAAAGGATTAAAAAAAAATACATTTATAGAATATGCTGTTTATCAGAATACTGAATACTGTGACATTAATTTAAAAAACCTGTGTAATCTTAGTATAAATTATATTTTGTCTTTATAATCCTCAAATTGAATGCACTTCAGTTTATAAAACATATAAAATGAAACTTAGATGAATTATAAATGCATTATATATTAATAATACAAATGCATTAAAAATATTTTTACTGCATTCACACTTCCACAGTCCCAGTGACATTGCACACAAAACTAAATACATCAAACTTTTTATTTATACTTTATATTACACATATAGAGACAGAAAATATATTATACTATTCCTGTCAGTAATGTATATAATTTCAAAATATATTTTAATGAGTATCACTAAACTTAAATTATGAATAAAAGCGACCAATTATAGTCTCATAAACACTGCACATAGTAAAATACTATGCATGCACTTTTATTCAGAGTATCTTTCAAATAACAACTCACAGAGTAAAAACTAAGTATTGTTCATATTAAAATCAAATATTTAAAATATTTTTCTCACTGGACCGCAAAATTTACTAAGTTATTTCTATGAAATGAAATGTTATGCAATTATTACACAATTTAAACAATATATACTATTTCATGATGACAAATACTGTTAGATCTGGAATATATATCTGAATAAAATTTACATATCAGATGCATTTCATCTGTTTACAAACTTGATCAAATCCATGAAAGCATTTTCAACGAGTTTTTCTTTCATAATATACAATAATGCTATCAAAACAGTTGTACCAGAAATATCTATCAATCAATCAGCAATCAGCTACAACTGGCAGTGAACATATAAAAGCTACATATTCAGTCAAGGCCTGGCTGACAACATAATTCTGATACAAATGCTCTTTATATACTATATAAAACATAAAGCAGTCAGTGAGATGAGAAATATGTAAGTAATAAATGAATAGGTTAGAAGGGAAAAATAGGAAAAGAAGAGAGAACTGTCTCTAACGTAGTTTTAGTAAAATAACTACAATTTTCTGAAATAACTACATCTCTATGCATACAGCTAGTCATTATGACTGTTACAAAAATCTTCTTAATTATAGAAAAAATGAATATATCTACCCTAATAGATAGTGTCAATAGTAACAAAACGTATTTTACTATTGATCTTTTGCATTATTTTTGTCTACTGTACAATTTTTGCATAATTTGGCATTTGAGGTATGGGAAGTAGGGTAGGTTTCTGCAAATTGGTAGCTTTGTACTTACAAGACAATTACCCTGATTTCTACATGACTCATCATCTATGTGAAGTAGAACCTTTTTTTTTGTACCCTATACAAAAACAAAGGAGTAATATACATGTGGCAGCTAGGATGGAATTTGGTTATCTTTAAGACACTTCGTAATGCACTTATATAGCATGGGTTTACAATTCATGTTTACAAATTGAGTAACAACTTTAAAAGTGTTCATACTAAACTTTGAGACATTTTGAGAGTTAACCATCTAGTACATTTTGGTGTAATTATATTTATAAATATTCAAAAATTGTAAGTTTTCTTTGTATTACAACAACCTCTGTTGCATAATTGTTTATCAATAAACTAATCAATAACTGCCACCACAAATTCCTTTTGAAGCCACTTTATGACAAAATCAGTATTGTCTATACAGCCAGCTAGATTTTTTTTCCTCAAAAATATTGTACGTATCAGAACTCTGTAAAGTTGTTAATGTGAATATATAATGTGTTGGTCCACATAGTTGAGGTAGATTGGTATATATTTGTTGAAAAGATCAGGGAAGAAATAATTGTGTTAATTACTACTAATAATAATGGGAAATATTAATCTATACATAGCATATGTAAAACCAACCTGATGATGAGTATTACATGCAAGTTTAAAACAAAAAATATATAGTGAATGCATAACATGATTAGATGGCCAATGCAAAAAAAAAGAATAATATTTATTATATCAATAATAATACAACAAAAAAAAATCACAAATTGAACAAAAGAAAAGACAAAACTTGAAAAAATAATCACAAACCTAGTACATAATATTCAGCTGGTAAACTCTGTACACTCCATAAATATCTATGACATTATTACATGTACAATCTACATGCCAATCATGTAATTTCTGTAAATCTTGAAGTCAAGTGCAAAAGTATGGTGCTTATATTTTAAAAACTGTGATTGTTATCTTTTTTTCTTATCAAAATATAATTCATCATATAAATGGGTAGGTCCTGACATACAGTGTTTCTCATATTATCATCAAGATTATAATAAAAGACAGTAGTACAGTAAAGACAGTAATACTCTTCAGACCTGGCCTAGGGGCAGTATCTTGGGAACTTGGGGAGCCAGATCTAAACTTTACTTGCCTAACTTCTGCAAAACTTTATACATACAAAAACAAAACAAACAAAAAATGAGGATGTACAATATACAAAATATGTATCATAATTCTTGGCCTGTTATAATGTAGACACATCTATGAAAGCTTTGAAAGGGACATTTCTGTTCTTTACAAATATATGTATGTATATAGTGAAGCAGGCAGGCCAGTGTGATAGGAAATACACAATATATGAGAGAATTCATACTAGGTTATATAAAATGGACAAAAAACTTATTTTTGTGTGATAACCCCTATACTTCTGTTATCAGAGGAATAAAACAGAATACTCATTCATGTTATCAAATATTAACATCACAAAAAAAAATAAATCCACTAGTGATGCCTACAGACTATGTAATATTTTGACATCTGACCAGAAACCAATATAGGTTAAGAGTCTTTATGTATATTTATTTTTTTTAAATATAATTTCAGTGTTAAAGAAAATATGTCTAGTACTGGTAAAGAAATATAATCTGCTTGTTGCTAATAGATTAATGTTTCTCCACTATTTGAGGAGAGAAGACATTTTTTAAAACAAGCACCTTTACTCATCTCTAGCCTTGCTCCTGTGTTTATTTAGTGAACAGTTGGGTGCATGGCACTCATAATGGTTATCAATCTCAAATTGACACATAATGTAATCCAGAGACCTAGAAATTTTCTATAATCTCTACATCATTTTTAATCATGAAAAGTCTTGCAGAGGATCACTTTGTATACACCAAAGCAAAGAAATATATTATTTCAAAGTGTGCATATTCATCATTACAAATGTAAAAAAACTATCTTTTCAATAATTAATTTTAAAAATCCAATAACTATATAACATTCTCTCAGATTTACAGTCAATGTAAAAAAGTACAAATCATCCATATGCATAAAATTAATATTATGATCAGCCAGTAAGAAGATCAAAATGCTGTATAGAGGAATGTCAGAACTAAAAACAGAATACACATCTAGAACCCTATCCATACAACTGACGGCAATAACAGCACAATAAAAAGTATCCTGAGCAAGATCGGTTTAAAATTCAATGGCTACTCTGATCCAAACCTATGCAGCTGGCAAGAATACTGTCTAAGGACCATTTATAACACTGCCTGTCACTGCCTGGTGAACTGGCTCCACTCCCAGCAGGGGCACTTTGTTGTTTTCCGCATAGACACAAGTAAGAAGTCCAGTAATGGCAACTTACTCGCTTGCCCTCATGGACTTGGTTCAGTTGTATGGACTAGATTTAAACTCATAAGACAGACACTGTTTTATGTCTTGTTTTTTTTTTCTTCTTATTCTTGTCTCCAATTTTCATATCTCTCCATCTTCAAATTCTCCCTCTTGTCTGCAACAGTGATAACAGAAAGAAACTGTAATGTTAATAAATATATGTATAAATCATGGATGGACTCTCTCACTCATACACACACTTTCACTCATTTTCTTTCTCTCTCTCTCTCTCTCTCTCCTCTCTCTCTCTCTCTCTCTCTCTCTCTCTCTCTCTCTCTCTCTCTCTCTCCTCTCTCTCTCTCTCTCTCTCTCTCTCTCATTCACACAAAATAAATGTGTGTGTATTATAAGTATATGTATGAGTGGTCACATTACTTCTTTTCCTTTATCTCCTTTATAGTCTAATCACTAACACAATTAGCATGTTTCCTATCACTACACATCACTAGAAATTATCCAAGGTATTAATAAAATGTAAATCTGAAAATACTGTCATTTTCTTATCTCATTTCTTTTTCATACTCTATTTGTTGGCAAAAATACACAATTTACCTTCTGTTTGATATTTTAATGCCTTTATTGAATATATCAGAGAGAACTTTTTTTTTTTTTTCTTTTTTTTTTTTTAGGTAAAATATCCATGCTGTTCCAAAAGATGCACTCTGTATACTGGAAACAGGAAGACAACTGTCAGTAAAACAATAATTCTTATGCACAAGGTAACTTATGAGAAGAATTATTTTTGGAAATACTAGACCTACAACTGAGTAACAATTACTTTTATTTGTTTTATTAAGAACTTGTCCTCTTTTCTGTTTAGCTGTCTAGGCATCTGTCTATCACAAGCTCCTCTCATAAAATACTAGTGAGACATCTGTCCAAAATTTAGCTAGTAAATTGAAGTTGCAAAGCAAAAAAGAATGAAAGAAAAAAAAAAAACTTACACATGCCTTTAACTACATGAAAAGTTGCCTTCACCTCCAAATTTCACTATTTATGGTTGTCCACTCATGACACCTGGGGCAAAAGCTGTAATGTTCACAAAGACAAGCATTAATTCAACCTTTTTTTTTTTTTTTTAAGACATCTGCCTTATAACAAAGCATTATACTGATACATGGTATTAGAATGTATACTGGTGTATTTACTTCATATGAAATAGAAATAATATAGCATAAAACAGATAACCAGTCAGAAAAATAGATAGATAATAATGATAACTATGATAACTATGATGGTGAGGGTGATGATGATAGTGATGATGATGATGATGATGATGATGATGATGATGATGATGATGATGATGATGATGATGATGATGATGATGATGATGGAAATAATTACATTGATAATGAAGATAAAGATGGTGAGGAGGAAAAACATAAGTAGATTTAATAAAGATATTAATGGTAAAGCTAAAGATAATGATGATGATGATGATGATGATGATGATGTAAATTGTAATGACAATCCTATAAATAAAAATAATGATTATAATCATAACAACAATCTCACCTGCATTTCCCTCAGCCATTTCAGGAGGAAGCATTGATTCATTATATGGAGGTGGAGCTGCAAGATAGAAAATTTTTAAAAGCATAATAACTTATTTTACCATGTTGTAATGAGCTTTAATACACCATGAGCTTTTATACATCAATTTCTGCATTGAAATTATGATGACAGATAAACTTACCTACTGCTAGACCCATTGAAAGATTATAAGATGCGTATTTTGGAGCAAACTTGCCGCCACTCTCATCATCACTGTCATCCGCAATGCCAGTCGCCCCAAACATGCACTCGTTATACGATGGCGGAGCTGTTGAAAATAAGTCATTGATAACCTTTCACCAAAATCTGAGAATATTATTTTTCGTACCATATCAAATTGATTTTATTTTTATCCTATTTTCTAAGAGGCAGCTGTACTGTATCAAAAAAAAAAAAAAAATCTTTAAAAATTCTGATGGTATTTATAACAAGTAACTTAATACTTGCATCCTCATTACATGTATGCTAGTTACTGAACTAAATATCCTGCCTAAACTGTGGACACATTCCCACTAAAAGGTACTCACGCAAATCGGGATAATGCAGGACCCCTGGAAATACTGGAGCTGTGGGAGCCACATATCCAGGCTGTGTAGGTGGGATATTGGGATTATATGGAGACACATTGAAACCAGCAGGAGGAGCTGAGGGTGGCATTGTGTTGGGTATGAGGTTGATGGCAATGGCTGGGGCTGGGAAGGACCTGCTGGCCGGAACATGGTGAAGTGTTCTCGCAGAGGGATGGAGCCGATGATCAGGGGAACTCGGTGATCCAAGGTGCCATGGCATCCCGAAGGACTCAACTTGAACTAGAGAAGGAATAATGTTAGTATAATGAAGCCAAATATGAAAAAAAAATTTGGTTAGTTTTAAAAAACAACGAAAGGGACCTGAGAGACGCTAAACAGCTGAAACCGAGCCAATCAGTTTATTGGATATTAACATCTGTCTTAACTCTAAATTTTTACATTCTTATCCATTTTCGAACTTATTAGAGTATATTACTCCTTTTAACAATCTGATTAAGATCTTACCACAGAGTTTAATAACCACTCTAGGTCATTAATTTCGATTCTCGGATAATCTATCTAATCATTTAATTAGGCAGTTATTGTCATAAAATGGCCTCTCTCTCTCTTTCTCTAATCTCTTCCTCCCTTCTCCTTCCCTCTTCCTCCCTCTCTCCTTCCCCTCTCCTTCCTCTTCCTTTCTCTCTCCTTCCCTCTTCCTCCCTCTCTCCTTACCTCTTCCTCCTCTCTCCTTCCCTCTCCTCCCTCCTCCCTCCCTCTCTCCTTCCCTCTTCCCCTCTCTGCCTTCCCTCTCCCTCCCTCTCTCCTCCTCTCCTTCTCTTTCCCTCTCCTTCTCTCTCCCCCTCCCTTCTCCTTTCCTCTCTTGTATTCCTATCCCTCTCTTCTTTCTTCCTCTCTCCCCTTCTCCCTCCCTCTTTTCTCTCCCTCTCTTCTATTCTCTTTTCTCTCTCTCTTCTCTTTTTTCTCCATCTCTTCAAACTCTTCCTGTCTTCCAGCTTTCTACTCTTCCTCTCTCCCTCCTCTTCCACTCTTCCACTCTCCCTCCCTCCAAAATTCAAGGACTGTGGTTAAATAAGTGAGTCAGGTGCCCTTATTAATTGACTCAGTGTGTAAAAAAAATAATAGACAAATCCAGTCGACAGTGCAATAAAATCACTCTAAGCATCCTCACATTGTGCGGATAAATAACTGGTGCATCCAGATGTATCAACCTGCTTAGGAAGACGGGCACAGCTTATGCTTCTGAGATATCCATATGAATCATTTACATATAGCATGTTATGATACGTACATTCAACTGGTAAACGATTCGATCACAAATATATCATATTCTAAAAGGACTCAAGCCCTGAGAAAAGTCAGTCAGCCTAAAACAGTAAATAAAGTCTTACAAAATATATCTATATACAAAAAATAGTTGTAAATAAAAAAAATAAATGAATGAATCTTATGAATAAAAACAATACAAACAGCCATAAAGCATGAAGCAGATATGATCTTCATGTATTCCCTCTGCCATTAATTTTTTTGTCTTTTCTATATGTAATATGTTATTGTTATTTCCAAAAAGTACGATTTAATATATTGAAGAACTTTAAAAATACGATGTCTTGGTAAACCAGTACGCGTCCTAATGGGTGTGATGTAGTACATTCATCCAACAGTAATACATGGTATACCTAAACAAATTCATAATTTGGGTATCTTGTAAATTACGTTTGCTGAAAGTTTGGGCACATATGATACCAGAGAGTTTTAGAATGTAAATATGCATGTAACCTTTTTTCCTTACGAAATTATGAGAGGCTAGATATCCTATTTAAAGCTGACTTAGTTTTACGGTATGACAAAAATATAAGTGCTACAGATTGCTCCAAAATGACTTCAGTGCTTTGTGCCCCTCGTTGGAACATTTCTGGATCTGTAATGGTGCAAGACATGCCAATATAACACTACATTGCATTACAGGGCATATTACTACGCGTTATATGAAAAATTTTTGTTATGCACACAGCTTTCTCTCAAGAAATTTTGACATCATTATGATAGCTTGAAATCATCCAAAATATTGAACTTAGACAACTTCTGTGATTGCTCATCGTGAAAAAGGCTGTTACATTATGCCACTAATTCAACTAGTAGAAAATATCTACCACTGCAATCTTACCTTAAATATATAGTTATTTCTTATTATTACAGAACTGTTAATTTGCTGTGGGGGGCAATGGTGAATAACAGCTTCACATCTGACCAAGTAATCACACCTCAGGAAGTGCTGGTTTTTTTTTTATTTCTGCAAATTTGCGGTCTACACTTTTGCTTTCCTGTGCATGGAAACAATAATCTGAAACAAAAGATGATGA